GTACTTGTGCTTAGGATTACCCCAAATATTCTTAGAGCATATCACCTAATTATTTGATGCACACACAGATTTCATCCTACTCTGAGTATGCATTTGAGGATCCAGTGTAAATGGGCAGAGTACTCGGTTATTTCGCCTGTGCTTGAACTCACAGAGTTGAAACCTCTGGGTTTTATCTGCCTTACCTGGTGGCTACATTAGTTTTCTCTTGTCTCTGGGATTTAGGAAGAAAGATGGGTTGTGTGGTGAAGAGTGCTTAAAACGGAAACTTGAACTGGGCTGTTAATGTTCATGTATTGGTTTCACCCTTCATTCACAAATGTGTCTTACATTCTAGGTAAAACTGCCATTTAATGCACAAAGGATTATCTCGCTTTCCAGAAATGACTTCCAGTCATTTCTGAAAATGCATAAATTAACTCCTGAACAATTGGACTGTATTCATGACATCCGAAGACGAAGTAAAAATAGAATTGCAGCACAGCGCTGTCGTAAGAGAAAACTTGACTGCATACAAAACCTTGAATCTGAAATTGAAAAACTGGTACGTATAAATATTCATTACTGTTGACCTGAGTATTTATCTGAACATCCTGACTGGGCATCTGGCAGTAGTTTGAGAGTGAGGTGGCTTACTCTTTTTCCCACTCAAGCTTAGAAAACTTTATCTGTCTTAGATGACTTCTTGATAGCAGTACTAGATTTTCTATCCTTTATTCTAAAGTATACACATTTATTCTTCTGTGGTCTTGTTGCCATTCAAGTAAAAGTGCATCGCAGCATAATTTTTGGTGAATGGTGTTTCTGAAGCCCATCAGCATTGAGCTTAATTGTATAGAATGATTCCCAAACAGTTGTCATCCTCTACTTCGCTTTTTACCTCTTTCTCCGTTCTTGCTTTGTGCTTTGGTTCTTCAGCTCGTGGTGTTGCTCATGATTAAGTTTAGTTACGCAATTGCTTGTTGTGCAAGTGTTGTTCTTGTAACATACCAGCTGGGCCAGTAAACTGTTTAGTCTTGAATCTTAAAAACGAGACCCTTGCAGGAAGGCCTAAAATACAGGACAACTCAGGAAGCTGCTTGCCTTTTTAGCATTTGCAACAAGATTGTAGCTGAGGAATTAATGCATCCAGATTTCTCTGCACCTATCTCTTAATATCATTTCTCCTTTGTCAAAGGCAATAAAAAGATAAATATGTAACTTAAAAGAAATGTAGCTAATCTGAAGTTCTCCTGGCAAGAAAATAATTGAGTGACTTTCTTCTGGTTTTTGTTTCTGGCCCTCTCATCTCAGTTTCATACTTGATTGTACCATGCACAGTAAATAGTTGTTTAGGGTTACTGTACTCTTGGTTCTTGTTTATGGAGTGGCTTAGGCCATGTTTATGTATATGGATTTGGTATCTGCATCAGCTACGAACATATGCAGTCATGTTGCACCTTTTCTCCTTATGACTTCAGAGTGAAAAGGAAAATAAAGTGCCATGGGCTAGAAACTCATTTTCTTGAAATGGCTCATCATCTTTCACTATATGCACTTGTGCAACAGAGGAGATAGACTTTGAAGGCAGGCCTGCAGTGCTGTACAGCCCTCATGAGTTGACAGAGCAAGTCATTTAGCGTGCTGAACGAAGAAGATACTCTGGGAGGGAGGCTGGGAAATAAGTGATCGTGTTAATAACAGTTGTATTATTCTGACTAAAAAGTTGCATTTCTAGTAGTTCAGAACTTTCTGTCCATTTTTGTTGTCATATTATCATTTCTGTTAGTAACTTTTTCAATATTGTGCAACACTTGAAGGGGCAGGGAAAAATTAGAGATTAATCTCCAAGATTAGATCTGTAGTCAACCAAGTGACTGATAATCATAGTATAATGACCTTTCTTCTGTCGACCTGTGGTACAACAGACTGTCTGCTGTTCGACAGGTAGCACAGTGCAAGGTCTAGACAATGAGCATTGAGAATTGAGGTGAGGTCCGAGTTATAAATTGTGCTTTAGGCACAGACATGTTCCAGTCGCTTATTTAGCCTGACTGTGCAGGTAAGTTTCTTCAGAACTTCCTGAAAAGACCTTGTTTGGAGCTCTTGGGTGTGTCTGACAGCAACTGGTGTTACCCACCATCGAACTTGTGTAACTCATGCACAAATACAGAAACTTTTAAGACCTGTCTAGGCATAATTTCCAGGCGGCTGGAAGAAAAGAGACATCTGTGAAAGGTATTGTGTAGTACATCCAGGTTGCTTCACACATGATGATTCCTGCCTTGTTCTGCTCCTCTGCGTCAGTCGTGTCTCAGACCTGTTAGTCTTTGATCTTCTCATGGTATCTTCTGTAATGTGGCTTTGAGAGGGGATAATATGGTGCAGCTATAGTTGGAAAACTTTTGACAAGTAGGTAATACTCTGTACTATAGCCAAATATTATTTGGTTCAGTTCTTCCTAGCTTTTAGTATGTGCAGCGTGTTGTCTTGTATTCATTTCTTTTCACTGATGCTTCTCAGGTTTTTGTTTAGCACACATGCAAGACTGAATGTTTTGCCCAGTTTTAACCCTTCCCAGTGCCAGAAGTAAATTGACAAACTGGAGCAAGGTTAGCAGGAGGCCACCAGGATGTTCAAGCCTGGAGTCTATCTCCTGTGGTGAGAGGAAACACTTTTTTTCCAATGGGGGCAGGCGGGCAGTGGAGCAGGCTACCCAGAGAGGTGGTGCATGCTCTGTGCTTTGAGATTTTTGTGGTATGACTGAGCATCCTGATCTTACCCAGACCTGACTTTGTTCTCCCAGACCTGACTTTGTTCTGAGCAGGAGCCTGGCCTACAGACCTCCTGAGGTACCTCCCCACCCAAGTGATTTGTAAAACTGAAAGCCTTGTGTTTGAACTCTACTGTACGGAAGAAAAATGCTGTTCAGTACTGAAGCTACCTGTTAACCTGGAATAGTTGTTTTGTGATTTCTGTCTTCTGTACTGATAATGTAATTTTTGACCCCCTTATAGTCTTTCCTTACTGATATTTTCAGGTGAGCCCACATGGTGTTCTTCACTAATGTTCCATGTTTGAGAATCCATGTGGGCCATTCAAGGAGATGTTGGCTTATTAGGTGCTCTGAAGGAGCTGTTTCTGTGCATTGACATTCCTCGTACTTTCATACCTCAAAGCTTAAAATGAGGGTACTTTTGAGAGGGAACAGAAGAAAGGACAGCTGGCGTCAAGAAGCACTATTTCCCTGAAGATTCTGTAGGCCAGAAGGATGTGTCTGAGAGAGCTGTGAACCAAGAAATGTATTTGAGATGTTGTTATATATACTACAGCAGGAAGGGGAGGTGTGTGAACTAAGTAGATTCTTCACCAGAAGAATTAAAGTATGTCTGGTTTATTATTATGACAACTAGCTGGCATTATTTACCAGTATTAGTATGATGCTGCTAGAATAAACCGGTAGTATTTAAGTTATTTGTCAATAACTTCAAATGGGGGTGGGGAACTTGCACTGGAATAACTATTTCTGAATGTTGAAGTTTGTGTTAAACAGCAATCCACATCATTTCACAAGTCCATAATACACAGCTGAGTGCCTCTACCTGCCCAAAATGTACCTAGAGTGATTTCAGATTAGGAGATCTGGCAGCAGGTGCTCCCAGTATGCTGACAAGCAGAAGTTTATTAGCGAAGCACTCTTTCTAATCATTTTAGGCAAAAAGGACTAGCAACAACTGCTTCTCTTGCAAAATGCCACTTAATCAGTCCTTTCAAAAAGGAGTTGTAGAGGTTGTGGTATGAGTTTCTCCTGCAAAAGGGAATGTGAGAAGGGCTGAAAATTGAAATTAAACTTCTGGGTGTGAATTGACACAGCAAGTGATAACACATGATCCCTATGATTAAAATGTATTTCCTAGAAACTATTTAAAGCTGTTAAGTCTTTAGAACTGTGCCTCTTGATTACTTAACTATAGGACTCAATATGCATTTTTTTTGCCCATCTGCTTCATTCTGGTCTTGCTTGTTTCCTGTCCTTCTTTCCCATTTCCTCATTTTAGTTTTGCTGGATGTTGCTTGTTTCCATCATTAGACCAGCCCCTCAGTTACCCATTTTTCAATGAATGATACTTTTTTTTTTAATATTTGAAATTTATTAGTGAATTGTCATCTCTTTTGCTGTCCTGTGTTTGGAAAATCCTTTTGCATTATGTAGCTGGATCATAAGCTCTTCAGAGTGAGGACAGTGTTTCCTGTCTGAGTGTCATCTGCCTCTCCTAAGTTTGCTGTTTAAATAAAACTCAAGCATTCTGCTGCTATTCTCCTGTTCCAATACTAGGTTACCTACCTAGTGACATCTCTGTTCCTGTCTCTTCAATTCACTGCTCTGTCACTCTACTTTAAATTCTTTAACTTTCAGTGTACTACTAAGCAGTGCCTTGAAGTAAAGTGGAGTGCTGCATTTCCAGAGAGAATACTTTGTTTACAATGTTAGCTTGTTTTATTTCTTTAATTTTCCTGTATTTTCTGTTTCCTTTAGATAGTCTTCAGTACTCCATTGTTTGTCCTACAGTGCACTTGGCACTTCAGACTTGCATTTACTTTCATCTAGCATCATTAGTGAAAATGTGATGTATGTCTGGTTTTCAACATTTAACTTTTAAAATACAAATATCTGTGAAGACTGCTCTGCTTAATGTTTTTGTTGACCCAATGGTGATGGTTTAAATGCTACCCTGTAGAATTAATGTGTCAGGAATATTTATAAGTGAAGATAGGTTTTAATTTATGAAATAACTACACATTACTGTTTTGGCTGCCAGCACGAGTTTGGAAGAAGTAGGTCTGAAAAACCACTTGTAAGTAATGCTTCAAGAGAGGTTAGAATTGTCCTTTAGATAGGCATTTAGTTGTGTTGGTGTTTACCATATCGCCAAATGACTGACCAGATTATTTACAGTCTCTTTTAGCTTTTTTTAGATGCATAACAAACTGTACTTTTTTGTGTTAAAATGCCGACTAAAAGGCTGTTTTTCTTCTTGCAGCAAAATGAGAAGGAGAACTTGCTGAAGGAGAGAAACCACATTTTGTCAACTCTGGGTGAGACAAAGCAGAATCTGACCGGACTTTGCCAGCAGGTGTGTAAGGAAGCAGCCTTGAGTCATGAGCAAATACAAATACTGGCAAAATACTCTTCCTCGGATTGTCCGCTTTCATTTTTATTCCCGGAGAGAGAACGAATGGCTCCATCTGATTGCGAGCTTGCAGTACCGGCGTGTATAGAATTAGCAGATTGCCTTTCAGGTGTTACAGCTACGAACGAGCAGAGTTCTTGTTATCAGTGTGTGAAAAGCGTGTGTGATGCAACGTATGATCAAGTGCAGGAACTGCATCCAGCTTCTGTAAGAACGTTGGAGAAAACCTCGCATGTGGAGCAGTGTGGACAGAGTGGTGGTATCACAGACTTCTGTCAGCAAATGACTGACAAATGCACTACAGATGAGTGAACCTATTCTCTTCTTGTTGCCAGCCTCTCAATCTTGCAACTAAAAGTGAAATTGAGCATTATTGTAAAGTAACTAAGTGAAAGAAAAGATGAAACTATCTTTTGAAACTACATTGGCAGTTACATGGTCATTATATTACTGGGCAAGCTTTGGGTTTGCTCTGCGCAGTTCTAGAGTGTAAGTTGTGTGTGTCAGCCTTGGAGGTTTTTATACGTTGTTGGAAAGTATAAAATCTGTGCACAGATGTTTATTTGTGAGGAAGATTTAATTCAGGTATGGAGCAGCCTTCACTCTGATTTATGCCACAGTACCCAATGCCACTCTGCATCTCAAGAAAAGCCTCCTAATGTGTTTATGCACAATGGCTTCTATACTTGGAATTCTTACCTCTCTGAGACTTTTCTTTTCCTGGTAGACAAACTTTAAGAAACATGCATAACTCTATAAATGTTTCTTTTGTACATGGCTTAGGGTTGCAGGACAGTATGAGGCAAGTGTACTCTGGAACAGTTCATTGCTTCCTGCTCTTCCCGTCCCTGTGCCAGAGCCAGCTTCTATTGAATATATGCCTTTGTCTTAGCTCTCCAGTACATGGTTAACTGCAGCTTCAGAGTTGCTGCAGCATACTGCTGTCTTCTCTACATTTTGTGGGAAGAATAACAACATACTGGGAAAGGCAAAAGTTTAAAACTGATGCAAATCTTTGATTAGTGTGCGTTGGCTCCTCTGGCATCTGAGTCCCGTATGTTAAAATTCATTGCTGTATTGTGACTTTGTGTCCCAGCACCTTCAAGTTCGCTGCTGTTTCTGTTAGGTTGAAATCCAAGTATGGTGAAGCGTAAGGACAGAAAAAAAAAAATATATATATAAAGGTATTCAGGCACCAAATTCATCTACTTCAGTGCCTAATTGTCTAAAGTAATCTACAAATATATTTGTTCTCTGATAACTGGGACCAGGAAGATCTATTCCAGAATTTTAGCCTTCAGGATACTTGTGTGGCTAAACCTGTAGTGTGTGTTCAATGGCTTGTGATACAAGTATACAAACATAGAGAAAGTAAGATAGGGAAACGAGCTGGAGGGATTTCCTTTATTTACTTTGCAAAAGAGAAGTTCAGCCACAAAAAATAATCCCGTTTTTTAGATTTTTACGTGCAGTAGATGCATATTGTATACCAATGATGTTTTGTTATTTAGATGTTAGTCTCACACCAGAACTAAGTATGGAACCTCACCACAGAAAACTTGGGTTTTGCTGGTTTACAAAACATGAAGAATCTTGTACAAGCCAGTGGAATTCTTCATTTCCTACCTCAGAATGTATATTAGCTTTTTTGTCTTGTGTGTGCATGTACAATAGGCAGCAACTAAGCAAAGGACTGTTGTAAATACCACTTAGGAGTTTTATCTTGCAGTGAGACTAAGCTTGTTCTTGGCAAAGCTTTTTTTTTTTCCCTCCACCCCTTATAGGTAACATAGCATTAATAAATATATTGAGACTACTAAGCCACTTATTTAAAATAAAAATAAGAAAATTGACAGATTTTAACAGTACTTCTCATAACCAGCATGTAATACAAGTGACTACACTACCTCACCCATGGGATTGAAAGTTGATTTAAATCTCTAGTGATATCCTTGGATTTTCATCATATATCATTACTTTTTTAAGGGGAAAATTTGTGTTAATGGAGCATAGCTTGTATAAATCAGTGCTTGCAGTAATTGAACTTCAGAAATAAATACTATATGGCAGACATCATGAGAATTCTACTGCTTTGGACATTTTTCAGATAATTGAACTGAAATTCTTTTAAATGACTATCGTTTATATATGTTGATCCTGTGTATGTATTACTCATGAAGCTCTCCGGGTTTTTTTTCTCCAGCATCTGTATAGGCCTAGTTAATTTAATCCTGCCTCCTTCCTTTGCTGCCACCTTGAGCAGTATTTTGCTACAGTCTCCAAACCAACAAGAAACAATAAAAACTAAAACAGAAAGCCCCAAACCTCTCTGCTCTCCATACATAATATCACTTTTAAAGCTGGTGGTAAGTCTCAAATGACGTGGATAATGATGTTGAAGCATTGTCCTAATAGTACACATACTCTGAAATGGAATTCCTTGTGTTAAATGTTTGTTATGAAGGGGTGGAACATATAGGTAGAAAATGACTGGCGGGGAACTTAAACATATCCAGTGGCCCAAACCCCCAACACGCTAGGCTAAGGGTGTTGGAAAACAAGACTGCCAAGTTCAGGGACCGGAATATCCACCAAAGGGTTGTGCTCCGCTGCTGTGGTCTGGTGATCAGCCAGGGTCTGAATTCCACCCAGCAAACAGTGCAGGGCTTCCAGTGCAGGAATCGTGGCTGTCGTTGACATGCGATTAAATTCGTTTCATGTTTTTAAACCTATTATGAACTCGATGAAGTTTGAGGGTAGGGTTTTGCCTAACCAGCTCCATCTAAATAATTTTTAAAATATTTATTTAATACAGTAGACCTACGAGTTGCATGTTGACTTCTATAGCCTGTATCATCAACTTGCAAAAGTTAGGAATGAATGACAATTTCATGATAATGAATTCTCAGGTAAATGTTTTGGAGTTTGGGTTTGTTTTTTTCAGTAAAGAAATACTCGATTTTGAAATTGTAAAATACTTTGTTAAAGCATGTTTTAAAATACTTTCGACAGACTATCTTAAAGCCATAAGAGTATGATGGCATACAGATTGTAAAATAAACAGATAATTACAACAGTTGATTTTGTATCTTTCGTAATTCAGTATTTTCTAAGACTACAATAAAAACCACTATCCTTTCTACAAAGGCTTTTCTTTTTTGTACAAATCGCTTACAGTGAAAGTCTTTTACTGGTGCATTATTCACTTATGTAGTACTATAAAACATTTCTGAAAACAGTAGTAAAGCAGTCTGTGGAGTCTGTAAGTGCCTGAATATTCCATCTCAGTAATATTTGCAACTGTGTGTATTAGAAGTTTGTTTGACTTTGTGTCCTGTTCTGTTTGAGGTAGGTTTTCTTTTCTAGGACACTTCATTATTTATTTATTAATGAACGTTTTAAAATTTAAGGGAGAGAACAGGTAAATAGCTGATTAATGGGATGTTGTAAGTTGGTTTACTCTGGAAAAAACTTGGAGGTGATGATTCTGTGCATAGTACAGATCAGTGCAGGAGACAGGTTTGTCGTAGGGGGAAGTTGTAAAGATATGTGTGTTTATTAAGCTTTAAGAAGTATCTTCGTAATAGTAGATCTTTTGGGGCCTGTTAAATAATCAGAAGGATGGCAGAATAATTACCCTTTGAGAAGCTGCATTTATCCTAATCTCCCTCTGTACCTCCTACACACTGAAGTGCAGCACGGGATCCAGCCTTTCACTATTACGTTTTACCTTGTTCAGAAAGCTTTTCCGTCGAAGTTTACTTTCCTTGAAAGTTCTTGTAAGCTGTGCATTTGACGCTTTCGAGTGTGAAATGTCTGGAATTCACTAGCAGACCCTTCATTGAAAGTTAAACAGTCGTTTCTGAGGGGGAAAATGCTGGAAAGCAAAGCAAAGTGATTGATTATAAGGTTCAACTTGCTGCTTAGAATTGATAAAGCAGTAAAAGCTGTCTGTCTTTCTCCAGGGCAGTGTTGTCCTTGGAATTTGTAGTCACTTGGATTTAGTTAGTGTGTTGTCCCTTTCTTGACTTTAAGAACCAAGATGTTAACTCGCACAAGAGTATCAGTGTGGTTCCTCTTTGAAGAAACTTGAAGTCTTGATGCAGGAGCCTGTGGTATGTTTCAAACTCTTAGTATTGAGCAAGAAACAAGGGCAGTGGAAGCTAAGAGGTACATGTGCCAGAGATCAGTGCTGTACAATTAGTTCTGCCTCTGGGTCCTTTTTTTAGGAAGTAAGGAATGAGGAACAACTGATAATTGGCACCTGCTATGTGAGCTCTGGGTTTTTATCAGAGTGTGACTGTGCAGAGTGAAATTTATTTAAAGTGAAATAGTGTCCCCAAGAGCTGAAAAGAATGTAAAGGCACCTACTTTAACTAAAGCAATTTTTGAATTAATAATGCTCTCCTGGCAAAAGTTGGAGCGTAAACAAAATAGTTGATCTTTATAGAGCAAAGGGAATGTTGTCCCTTTTTGGCACTGAAATAGAAGCTGGGCAGGCTGGTCCCTTATGCCAGTTTGATACTCCATTGTTTGCACATTGATGGTTTCTTTGTTTTGTTCTTTGTTCTTCAAAAGAACGGACCTCAAAAGCACATAGCTGCAATTTGCTGTCACATATAAAGGAGAATTTCAATATTGACTACCGGTTGAAGTTCTGTGGACAGAACTCAAGGAAGGAACGAAGGGAAATCGAGCTGTTTCAGCAGAGGCTTGAGTAAGAGAGACTTCATGAATATGAATGTTGTAAAAGCCTGTTTAAGCATGCATTGCGCTTTCCAGGCCTCTTACATTGTGTACACTGCACTTAAGCTTTTTTAATTATTTTTCTTAGTACTTTTAAAATTGCAAATATTAACCTGACAGACTACAGACACTAACAATCATTTCTTCCCCACCTCTAGGTAACTGGAATGGGGCAGGGAAAGCAGTGTTCAGTCCTCAGAGATTGGAACTTTAGAAATGAACAGGATGTTTAAACAAACATTTGTATTGAGAACAAGGTGGGTGTGACAGTCCAGGTAATGGCGTTTTTTGCCAGGAAATGTTATGCCATGTTGTAGGCTTAAAAAAAAAAAAAAGATGAAAGTGTTTATTTTCCTGTTAAGCCAGGAAGGATTCAGGGGAGAACTGGTCAGGAGCACTTGGTAGAACAATTTTTTTTTTTCCTAGTTTAGAGACAGTATTTTTTACTTTTCTGTCCCTTCAATGTTTTGAAGAAAAATGGAAGAAACTCTTTATTATAATGCTCATTCAGAATACAGCGTAGCTTTCTAAAAAAATAGTTTATTCTAAGTGTTGTAGGCACACATGCAAATAGCCCCTGTTCCAAAGAGATTTTATGAAGGGATGTGAGAGATTCCAGTAACAGGA